AGAGCATGAACTCAAAGCGCAGGGTTAAGGGCTTAGTGTCGAGAGCTTAGGGTGAAGAGTTTACGGTATAGGGTGAAGATGGTTTAGGGTGTTGTGCTTAGGACTTAGGGTTCAAGCGGACTTGCACCAGCAAGTACGTAGTCGCCCTTCTGATCCTCATCTGAAGCACACTGAAGAGAATACAGCCTTTAAGCCCATTCCATAAACCACAAACACAGCACTCGAAATATTCCCAAGGCTCCATGTACCCATATAGTAGGTACTTAGGCCTTAAAGGGGTCCCTATATGGGTACTGTAAGGCCTAAGTACCTACTATATGGGTATATGGAGCCTTTGGGATTGAACCTCCCCTGAAGGTTCGGGACTGGAACCAGAATCCAAACATGGAAACTCTGCCTGGGCCCTAAAGAATCTAATGTGGGGTGCGTAATTACCTGTATCAGTTTTGGTGGTTCCTTCTTATAATTATTGTATAATGGGCTCCAAACCCCTATTCTAATTATTAAGGCCCCTACATTACCTTTTCAGAGTTCCGTAATCAGACTTCCTTTCTTTCAATCCTTGAAAGTGATTTGATAGGGCCTTAGGTAAAACATAAACCTGGAACACGAGCCATGAAACGCTTCCCCTGAACAAGTAAGCTTCGAATCGCTCTGAGCGACGATTTTTCCCCGGGCAACAACGCACATCTGGCACGGAGCACGGCATGACACGACTACTGTGCCCATCCCTCACCGCAAGGTCCAGAATGGCGCAACGGTCAAAGTCTGGAGCATCATTCTAGCGGCTCAAGTACCCCAAAATCACACACTCCCCCGAGGTACCCCAGAACCAAGCAACACAAGTGGCCCTAATACTTATAGAGCAGTGTATGTCAATCAGAATCAGAACCCCTGCAGGAATAATGCTTCAAATTATTCGGGCTTCTATGACCCGTAGACAGTGTCTCGCACAGGTTGCATATATATATATATATATATATATATATAATCGTAGTAATAATGCGGATATACTGGTCACGATCATGATGCAACAGATACTGATACTAAGACAAATTCTAACACTAGGACTAAGACAAAAATAACACTGATACTGATAATAGTACTGTAACCAGCACCAGTACTAGTGCTGATTCTAATTACAATACTAATACCGTTACTGATACTGATATGAATACTAAGACTTACTACTAGTCTAATACTCACCCCATGCAAATAGTCATGCTAATCGTTTTCCTAGGTACTGTTCATAACATGTATAGTAAAAGCCAGAAAGTTGGAACATGGATTTAGGAGGATTAATGCTAGGATCCCTTATACTTTACCTTAAGGGCATGGGGATAATGATGCTCCAACTTGGATTCTACTCTAGGGTCAGTTAGCTCTCTGGGCTGGCAGTAGATAAATGTCCAGGAACCAGCCTATGGAGACGTTGCCAGCTTGCAGCTGCCAAGGTTTGGTCAAAGGATCGCGAAACAGCCTAAGTAAACGTGGAGTTGCAAGCTGCATGCCGCTTGCCCACGTATACCTCCTGTTTCCGTACTTGGATTCGTCGAGATTTGTAGCAGGATATGCGCATGAGGGCAGCACCTCGGCTCCTTTAACAAATCCTGCAGGGGAAGATTTCAGACAGGCAGCTGAGTTGCGGATCCGTAACCCGACAGTGAAAACCCAGAGCGCTGCATTCGGAGCCCTGAATGCCACCGTGATCCTCACTAAAACGAACCTGCAATATCCCAAAGGGTCCATGTACCCAAGTAGTAGATACTTTGGCCCCAAAGTACCTAAAAAAGGTAAACTTTGCGGCCTAAGTATGGACTAGTTGGGCACATGGACCCTTAGGGTATCATTATGAGCTTAAGCGCTGACTCTGTAACCCGAAACCCTCAGTCGAAGTTCAGGGCTCGGGGCTGTGATCACTCTCGCCGGTATCCGCTATCAGTCGCGAGCCCGGCTGTGGAACTTGTGCCCACGCAGCGTTGACAGAGAGGAAAGCACCCCAGGCCCAGGCTCAGGGCTTTGTATACGGCCTAAACCCTAAACCCTAAACCTCTAAACCCTAAACCCCTAAACCCCTAAACGGCATGAGCTCTAGGACTCTAGCACTGTAGGATTTACCGTTTTCAGGTTCAGCCTGAAATTTAAGCCCTTGACCAGAAACCCTTGACCCTACAATCCTAGAAGCCGTTTATACAGCGGTTTAGGGTTGAGGGTTTAGGGATTTATCAGCGGTTTAGGGTTTAGGGAGTTATACACCTAAACTACACAGTGAACCCTTGAAAACAGATCCCTAGGCTTGACTTTTCTGGTAGAGGATGGTTTCTAGTTTCCGGCGACAGCTAAAGTCCATTTCACATATGGGGTTTATGAAGTAAGTGTGGTGTTTTCGTTCTATGTCAGTGTACAGAAAAGTTCCTTGGCGAGAAGCGCGAGCTTCCTGACAATAAGCAGACAACGATGTATGGTGGGGCGGACACAGGCCTTAAACTGAAGTATCACGATGTAAAATGGCGGAAACAGGAACAGGACCCCTGCCACATAAACATAGCAGCAACAACAAAGCCTTACACTCACAAGCTGTATGGCATGCTTGCCTGAACCAAAACAAACACTCAAGTCCGATGGGTTTAGTGCTTCCTACTATCATGCTTCTTCAGTTTAGGGACAAGGTCTACTCATCAGTGGTGTTTTGCTGACCGTTGTTGGCTGCTGGCTCTACGCCTCTACTCCTCGAACAAAAAAGATGTTGCGAGTGGCCTTTGGTTTCGGAGATTAGGGCTTGCTTACAGTTTTCATTGCAGTTCCATTTTTTGGTTTAACCAAATATATGATTCGGATCCTATAAGGTAACCCCCAAAAGCCAACTATAGGTAGGGCTTGGAGTCTGGGGTTTGAGGGCAACTCCATTTGTAGAGTACTTCTAAGCAGAAATCATCCCGCACTTGTTTTTCAATCGCCGGCCCCGGCTCGAACCTCCAGGCATTCCCACGCAAACTCAACATGGCTTTACAGTACGCGGTTCAAGGTTCGGGTATACCTGGACACCAAATAACATACCCTTTTAAGGACCTAAGTAAGGAAATCATAATAAAGAACCCTGAGTGGAACGGTTTTATAGGGTCCAGGTAGGGTTTATAAGGTTTAAGTACTCATCCCCTCTAGCCGTGGAGCAGCTCTGACTCCGGGGTGCCTCGTCCGGGGGATGCTCTGAACTAAATTATTGAAAGAAACTCATCCACGGCATTGCGGCTTCCAGAACTTGATCTGACACGGCAGATGTATATATACAATATACATATATATGTACAAACGTCCAGGACATGCATCTGCATGCATTGTAGAAAAACCCAGGAGTAAACTTGCAAATTGTTCGGAGACACTCCGATCGTCGTAGCCCCGAGATTTCAGAGCAAGCGCTCGGAAGGATGAAACTAAACGCTCCGTTTCAGGATGCCGGGCTTTTATGGCTTATATGGCTCAACCAAGAAAGAGAGAGAGAGAGAGAGAGAGAGAGAGAGACAGGGAGACGACAGAGACACAGAGAGACAGAGAGAGAGAGAGAGGGAGAGACAGAGACAGAGACAGGGAGAGAGAGAGAGAGAGGGAGCGAGAGCGAAAGAGCAGGCTCGATGTCTACGGTCAGCGGCAAGAACCCGAAGCTGCCAAGTCCCGAAAACGACCAACCACAAAACCACACATTCAGGGTTGAGGGTTTTATGGTTCAGGGTTGAGGGCCCCGAACGACTTCCCAAAACCCCATACCCTGAACCCGAAACCATAAACCCTATAAGCCCTGAACCTAAACCGTAAACCCCTAGACCTAAACCCAAACCTTAAACCCTACTGTAATTACCGTAGCTACAGCAGCTTCCGGGTTTTCAGCGGGCGCATCAATCAACACAAGAACGCACGTTTACAAGTCTCACAGATAGTCATCGTATTCTCAGTAATCGCAAATAAGACAATAACAATATGTAGTAAGAATAGTAATCATCATAATACTAACAAGAAGAATAAGAAAGCATTGTCATTATTATCGCCGGTACTAGTACTATTGCTGGTAGCTGTTGATGCTATCCCTTTAATGACTATTAGTAAGATTATTGTTAATATTGTTCATATTACCACCATGCATATTATGAATATTTTCAATAAATGCTATCATGATTCTGATTAGAGTCGAATTTCAAAATGAATGTTCATATGATATGAGTGCTGAGGCGAATATGAGAGTGTAGAATATATATATATATATATATATATATATGCTCCCCCCCGACGTACCTACTGTCTCTGGCCTTCGTAAGGCAATTTATTTTCCAATCTAGGTTGGGGCTGGACGCGACATAAGATTTTTTTATGTCTAGAACCAAAATGTATACACGGCATGTGCACTTACATGTATCCTCATATGAGAAAATGCGCATACCTATTCATGAAAATCGCCCCGAGACAACCAGGTCCAGTGTAGCCAGGTGACCTTAGATGCTCAAACTTGCAGAATCTTATTGGTGGGTGCTACCAAGGGAGGGAGATGTTGCTTTGTTTTGCAGATTCTTGGCTCTGTGAGCTGTGAGCCACAGGAGAAACAACTGCGTTAAAGACACGCTCGTGCCCATACTCGTGCCACATCACACTCACTAGCCCGCTGCATTGTCATGTCCATTGAGCTTTCCGAAATTTCAGGTTCTCCTCTGTGAGTGCAGCAGCTAGCAAAGAGGTGTGCCATGCCTAGTTAATTCGAGATCATGGAGTGGAGGCCCAGTGATTGTGACTTCGTGCTTACCTCTTCACCATGCATGTAGGAAGCAACAACGTGTCCAGCACACAACCAGAGATCTCGTTGGCAGTTCCAGTACTCCCACTGTGCACTGCGAGTCTGTGCAGCAAGCAACAAGGCGGATGCCTTTACATACTGGTTCCTGGAAAGTCTGGCTTGGATGAAATTCCACGCGCGATCTACGATTTGGGTTCCCGCTTTACAGGAAATTCTACGGCCATCAGGCAACTTGTGCTTCGAGATGCGAACGAAGGTCGGCTTCAACCACACCCACTTTCCGTTCTTCTCGACACGGTTCTTCTTGTGCACCACCGCATCGTGCGCAACACCGGACAGTTTCAAAATTGTAGGAGCGGGCCGAATCCGTGTGGAGGATGACATTGCGGTTAGGGACGTGCTTCAAGGCCAGAGGCTTCCAATCCACCTTTCTGATGGCACCAGGACGGGCCGCACGAGGAACTGTCATTGCTGGGTTTAGCTTGGTCAAGACGAGGGTCTCAGGAGTGCCGCGCCGCACTATGGCTCCCCACTGCTCCCAGAGCACTGGTTTCGCGCCGAGCTCCTGAGGAGAAAGGGTCTTCTTATCGAAGGTCGCCTTGTCGGCTTCGAGCTCTTTCCAAGCCCTTGGACAGCCGCAGAATTTGATTTCCTTTTCCGCCTTTTGGACATAGCCCTTGCGCATGAACAAGACGCCGCGGCCGAATTCTGGGCTTTGTGATTGATGTGTGTGAGCAAGTGGATGCTGGACAGCGGAACATTGAGGAGACGAAGAAGAAGGGCTGCAGCCTGCACTTGAAGCGAGTGACCCTCTGGCCCGTTCGTTGCCGTGAAGAATGGGTGTAAGGGAGAAAAAGAGCTGACAGCACTTCTTGTTGCACCTGTAGCGCAGGATGTCATCGCGGCCATTGGAGGTGAGAGGACCGAGCTTGCCAGATTGACAATGCGGACACACACAACCTTTCCAATTGGGGAGAATGCCGTTCGCAGTGAGAATCTCAATGATCTTCTCATTGCTTGCCGAGAGGAATTCCTGGATGGTGCGGCGCCACTTGGCCTTCTCCAAATGCACATGACCACCGTTATTGTCTTTGACATAAGGAATTTCGTTCCAAATCGCAGACTTCATAGCTGAAGGTCTCTTCGCAATCATCCGCCGCACGCTTGTTTTGGGAGGCGGGAAGGGGTTGAACTTCTCCTTGGGCGGCATGAGTTTGTTGAGGTGCAACACACGATTTCCCAACTGCTTCTTGAAAGCACCAAATGTCCTTTCGTCTTCGTCTTTCTCCAGCTTGACACAGACCTGCGTATGTTTGCGCAGGATGGCTATTGGGAATATCGATACCGCGAGAAAGATCGGAATACAAAGCTTCAAACAGCAAGTTTAATCCAAAACATATAGCAACGAAGCAAGTTTTATCCAAAACATATGTCTAAATCGCAACGTCGCAGCTGTAATCCAAACCAAGTGTCGAAATCAGAACGAACCAACCCCTCGGAACTTGACGGCCTCATCCTCTTTCTTCAAGGCCTCCTCTTTGTTGGCGGTAGAAGGAAATGAGTCGTGGCCTGCCTGCTCATGCTCGTGAACCTCGTGCTCTGGTTTGGCGTGCTTGGCGCTTGAAGATGCGGGTGCGAGCAAGTTGCTGGCGGATTTGACGGACTTGAATCTTTTGGATTCTCTTTCAAGAGCACCAGAAGTGTCCTTGTCAGGGTAGAAGATAGTCTTGGCATCAATGCCTGTGAGAGCTCGGGGCGGTTCTCCTGGATGAACTTCTGCCCCGTAAAGGCACTCTTGCCAAAGATGGTGGTGCAAGAAGGGACGACTTCATTGTCAAGTGCAGCTTGAAGCAAGTTCAGAGACCATTGAAGATGGTTAGCGTCTGCTCTGTTGGCTGACAGCTTGCCCCTCAAATACGCATGGTACCTTGCCCAGCTTGCTCTTTGCATTCGTAGGAAGTTCCTTTTGGACAAACCGGTGTGGGTGTAGGGCCCATAGGGTTTATGAGGTTGCATGTGCAGCCGATTCCATCCGATGCAAGGGTAACTAGGATATGCAGCTAAGAACCTACTTGTCGGGTATCATGGGGAACTAAAGGTTAGCCTTTTTGGTTATATAGGGATTATATAGGGACTATACTACACCAAAAAGGTTAACGGTTACCTACTCGACCTCTAGGAGAAACACCCAACAACTCTAGACACTCAACCTTTGCACTCCTACACTGTTGCACCCTGATCCCATAATGTAGGAACCTGATTAAGAAACCCTGGGCCTACAACCCCAAAATAATACGATTCATAGAAGGAACCCTAATAAAGGCCCAAGAATTCTTGATCAGGTTCCTACATTGTTATAGTACCCATATAGATCCCTTTTAGTAGCCCTTATAGACCCCAAAGGTTCCTACATTACACCGAGTCCACAAGCCGCGATGCAGCAACCGATAGACTTTGGCAACGAGCAGACCGTTGCTGTCAGAGATCAAATTATCCATGGCTTAGGTCTGTAATAGGGCTACTATTAGGGTCCTACTGTATCTACATTATGAGTATTACTCAACAGTACCCAATCCATGGCTTGCTTTCAAAGCGGCTCTTGTGCTGAATTCACGGAACGTTCTGGGTAAGCTGCGCGTTTCTGGCAGGGGTTCTTCCGAAGTGTGGAGGAAAACCTGCTATTGTAGAGGGTTAGAGATAGAGATGGTCTGAGGCTGGGGCAGTATATCACCAGCTAGGATGCAGTTAGCATGAAAACCCGGTCTACATCAGAGTGCAAAATGCATCTTGAGCTCTGGAATTTGGTGGACCTTAACAATCGGACTCGGGTTTTGGTGACGAGTTTTTCTGTAAGAAAAGGGGCTTAGGGTTTAGCCTTAAGAAACTATCCCAGCCCCTGCGTTTACCCCGAACATGCACACGCAACACGCGAACAATCCGGCCCGGTTCACATGCTGATGAAGCCAATAACACCACAACCCTAACCCTGAGGCCCAACATGGCCCAAGAGCCTTACACAGTGCGTTCCCATAAACCCTGAACCCTAAACCCTTAACCCCTAAACCCCTAAAAAAGAGCCTTATATAGTGTCTTCCTCGGGCTCCGGTTTAGGCAAGGCACTGCCGAAATCGATCGAGGGAAGGGCCCAAAGGCTGATGAATGAGTATCAACACAAGGGGTTTAGGGTTTAGGGCTTAGGGTTTAGGGGTATCAGCACAAGAACTTTTCAAAGCCCCAGACATATGTACAGCAGCCAGGAGAGTCCACGAGTTTGGCTTCTGGCCGGTTCTGAGCCCTAGCGCTACGCAGTTTGCAATACGAGGAGACTCCAATAACCTGGAACGATATGCCCAACAAAACTTTTTAGATGTTCTTCATAACTCAGGGTTTGTATACCGAAACTCCTTTGCTAGATTCCTCCGTCAATAAGCAAATAAAGGTTGATTGATCTCTTGCTCGAATGGTTTCGTTGGAGTCTCCACGTATCGGGTTCGGATCGAGTAGCTTCCAGGATAAGACAAGCAAAGAATAAGAGAAGACATGAAAAGAGCCTCAATAAATGGAGTAGGGCGTCTTGAAAGAGTCTTGAAAGAGATCCTTTACAGGGAACTCCAGAAAGTTGGAATATGGTTTCATGGTAGGATACCCTATAATTTACCATAGAAGGGTTAGGATAATCATATTCCAACTTTCTGGCTTCTACCTTACAGAGTTCCTGTGAAGGCTCAAGGCTCAGGCTTGCTATATGAAGCTAGACTGTAACCCTAGGGAAGAATCTAGTTCATTGTTGGGATAGGATTTTAAAATGTACAGTTTAATTCCTTATTGGGTTTAAGTACCCATAAAAATGTAAAATGTTACCCAACAATGACAAAGGAATAGTACTAATTGGAAGAGGATCTGGTGCTGCCTTAGGCGTTCAACCGTTTTGGGCAACGGGCTCAACGTTTGGGGGTATCTTTCTGTTTGCTTTAGGCTTTTGGTTTGGGAGTTTTGAAGGTTAAGGTTTTCGAATGTTTTTCAAGTACGTCAGTCAAGTCGAGCGTAAGACAGGCGGATAACGCAGGATACCGGAGCTCGGATCGAGCTCACCAGATCCCTAAAGGCCCTAACATCTCTAGGAGGCTACGCTGCAGCGTGGTACATGGGGGTGAGGGGGGGCTGGGGGCGGGGAGGCGGAGGGGGTTTAGGGCTTATGACCCAGACCCTAGGCCCGAAGGACCAAACCCTGATTCAGACTTTGGATTCGGAAGCGAGCTCTATCCTGACACTGGTTCGCCCAGTGATCCGCTCATTGAGGCAGCGACTGATGACATGGCATGAGGGCATGATCGGGCTGTTAGTTATTCGATCCTCCCAAACCGAGAAGGCCACATCCCATGCTCCACTCTCAAGACGCTAAACCGCAATCCTAAGCGTCGCAATGCGAGAATTCACTACGACAGACTCCACCGCAGCTGCATGGCGACAAGTCCCAAACTTAACACATGTGACAAGCTCGCAAGCCCTCTATTCAAAACACGCGCAAACGGAACGGTTCAAGCGACAGTTGCGAGTCTGAGTCCTTCCGTGTTGGGCTTTTAGTTTGAATGCTTAAAACTACCGGCCCTCGTAAAGTTTAGGCTTTAAAGCATATACTATATGCGCACATGGACCCTTAGGATATGGTCAGATTCCACACCGGAAATCCTGTGCGAAACCCCACTGCCCGCCATCGGTCCAACGCAGAGGCGACTTTCGGCCGACAAGCCCTGTGATCTCATGGGCTACGAGGTCCCACGGCTCACATGGTGTAGGGTTTATATAGGGATTAAGGGGTTGGGGTATTAGGATCTACGGGGTTTAGGGCTTAGGTATTTTGGGGTTCAGGGTTTAGGGTTTACCTGGACCCCAAATAAACTATCATGTTAAGGCCTTACATAGATACAGAAATCCTATACAAAGGCAGCTGATGTGGGGTTCAGATAGGAACTGATACCGAATCTTACTTGTCTAGTATCCTGGGAAACAAAATGTTAACCTTTGGGAGTATAATATACAAAGGGTCATAGTCCCCCAATAGGGTTCAAGGTTCCATACTCTACCAGGAACGAGTAGATCTTCGAGGTTGGTGGCCTAGCATTGGGGGGCTCTAGGGTCTGATCCAGACCTTCGACTCGTGGACCAGCTCTTCCCACCCGCGCAGTACATACTTAGATTTAGGCTCAAAAGTACCTACATGGGAGTTTCCGACCACAAGGGGCCCTAATATAGCACCCTAAATAGCAGCATCCTTTTTTCTAGGAACCCCAAAAATACGGTACCCGTACTTTTTGGAAACTCCTACATGGACCTAAATTTTCTAATAATGGGCACTTGGAGCCTAACCCCTTGATATCAAACATACGCGCTGTAATCCTTGATATGCGAACGGGGCATACTAATCAGGGAGCCCCTGAATCCTGAACCCTGAACCAGTAAATAGCAAACCCCCAAACCCAAACTCAAGCTAAACTAAGGCAGTCTCCATTGGTAGTTGTTCCTTCTTGATTTACCTTGTAATGGGATCCTAAACATATCATTTGTTCAAGAAAACAGGAACTACGATGGAGACTGCAGGTAAACTCACAAACCCGAAACCCAACCCCTTTAACCTGGTAGAAGCTTCGGTCAAATTCTTCCTGAAGCCTAGGAAACACAGGCACAGATGTCCTAGTACCGAATACCTGCTGTCCGTTGTCAAGATAGTCCATGCACACCCTGAAGTCTATGATTTCGGGCTGAGTACTCAGGCATGCCGTTGTGGCGCAGATGTCTAACAAGGTCTGAAGAAGCTCCTAGCTCCTGGAATTAAGGATTAGGCTGGTTTAGAGTGTCAGTTCTTGGGATTTGGCTTTTAGGGGTTGGGTGTTCAGGCTGTTCAGGTACAAGGTCATAACCCGCTGGTTTGGCAGCGGGCTAAAAGTACAAGTTCCTGAACCCTAGCCCATGCCTTCATCTACTGGGACCGACTTTTTCAGCTTGGTTCGAATATCAGCTCGAATAGGGCGTGTTGGGGACATTACAAAATCAAAAGGTAAGTTTGGGTCGTAGAACCCTGCTGGTCCATGTCACCAAATAGTATATACTCTGGGCCCACTGTACAATTTGGATGCATGGAACCCAAATTATAGTAGGATCCCTAGCATGGTTTAAGGAATCTTCCTTCATTCCCTTATAGAACCCCTATAGATCCCTTTTTGGAACCCTCAAAGGAACCCTTAGGGTTGTAGAACTTCAACTGCAAAGCTGAGAGTTCACAGAGCCGAGGCTGAGCTGCACGGAAAGTACACCTCTGCACGACTTCAGGGTTTAGGGTTTAGGGTTTAGGATTTAGGGTTTAGGATTTAGGATTTAGGGATTTTTTTTGAGGACCTTTTTCCAGTGCATGGAGAGCCTCAATGAGGCAGGCCCGGTTCTGGATTTAGGGTTTAGGGCTGGATTTAGGGTTGAAGGGCCACGTGCATCTGATATGCTCATGGTGCGTCTTTGACAAATCAAAGGCAGTCTTGGATTGTAGTGAAAGCTAGTATTCATCACACTATTCAGAGCTTTTTATACTACGCCAGAGTCCTGCTCAATGCAGGCCCTGAGCCCCAAATCCCGAAACACTGCACCCGAAGCATTCAGAAAATATGGCCAAAGCTGGCTCAGAGCAGCTGGTACTTGAACCACGCGGTTGGACCCCAACACTCCTTCTGCTCGCAGCGAGGGGGGTTGCCATCTTAACAGGGCTCCGTGGGGTGGTACGAGGGTCTTTGTGGGCTTAGCTGACTTAGAGATTACCCTAAGGGTCCATGTACCCAAAGAGCATATACGTTGGCCTGAAAGTAGTCCCTGTATAGGTACTTTGCTACTTAGGTTAGGGCCTTAGAACTAGGAAATCACATGCCCAAGTGGGCAGGGAAACGCCCCACTCTAAGGTTCCAAAGTAATTCGAAACCTTAGGTTTTTGTTTCTTACGGTTTAGGGGTTTAAGGTCTAAACCGTATGACCCTAAAGCCAAATGCTGAACCCAGCGGACTTTGGACCTTGAGAGGCTTGGGCTTCCAGTAGGTCAGTCTTGTGGCGAGTAGGATTCACCATGTGCCACGGCTAGAGAGCTTCTGGACAGGGGTTTGGCCGGCAGATTTCACCACACGTGCAGCAAAGCCCCAAACCTGCTAGAGAATCCAGCCAGCACGAAGAATCCCCGCCCAATCCACACAACCATGTCACAAGCTGGTACATTGGCAACTTCGAGCCTTCCAAAGCATGCGAAACCGAAACTCAAACGTTACATCCCATGCCCTAAACTCTACGGCCCAGTCCCCAAACCCCAAAGTATATCCTACCAATCCTAGGGCAGTTCCGAAACCTGCCGTGAAAGAGCCGAGGTGCTGGGAAGAGTTGACAAGCTCGGAATCCCGCCTTTTGGGGAATCTGATGATGTGTTTTGGGGCTCAGGGGTTTAACTAAAGTTTGGTATTCTGAGGCTTTCTATGATTAGGGGTTCTATAAAGGGAGCTACAAGCGTGTAGGGTTTAAGCTGTGGCTTTAGGTGGTGAGGGTCTCCTTTGTGATTCATGCATGCGTGCTTTTCTTGTACGGTATAGCTTCATACCCATCCACATATCGGAACATCATATTTTGTACGCACCCTCCATCAAGCAAACACTAGCCCACAACGACTCCATGCCATCCTAAACCCAAATACCAGAATAAAATGGAGTGCTTTGGACAACCCGAAGCTCTCCATTTCGCTTTGTTGATCCCTTACAGAGTAGTACCTCGGAGCCGCAAACGTTGAGAAAAAAGGTCTGAGCAGCTAGTTCTCAGATGTTCTAACATGACATACCCCCAACCCTGAACCCAACCCCTGTAGGACCCAAAACGAAACGCCGTAGGGATTCCTTGCGATACCCTATAAGCTCATTTTCAGCTCCTACAAGACTCCGTACAACACGATAGGACCCAATAGAACAACCCGCAGCGCTTCACCATGTTAATGCTGCAACTATACAAAGCCAACCGAAACGCCACAAACCCCTAAACCCTAAAACCCCCTAAACTCCGTTAAACAAACTAAACTAAACCTAAACCCTGAAGGCTCTAAAGGGCCCTAAAACCCTGTTCTTGACCGGGCCACCCGTTTCAAGTCTGTGGCTTCAAAGCCTTGGAGGGAGAGCTCAGCGATGGAGGTGCCTTTGACCATGGGTTCAGGTGTTTAGGGGTTTCAGGTTTAGGGGTGTGTTTAGGGTTTAGCGGTTTAGGGTTTAGGATTTCGGGTTGGGGGTTCCCTTAGAACAGCGTAGGTTTTAGGTTGCAGGCCAGGGGTGTTAAGTTTCGGTCTTGAGAGTTTTGAACTAGGGTGTTCAAGCTATAAGGCCAGGATTGCTTCAAGGGTTCCCTTATCGATTTATTGAAGCCGCTTCCTTTATTTGAGGATTCCCGTTACGGGTTCAAGTTTTAGGCGTGGGGCTTTAGGCCTTGCATGGTGTTTAGGCGTTAACCCTATGATCCCGACGGAGCCATTAAGGAACCCCTAGAGTCCAAGGGTAGAAGGAGGGACCCTTAATAAGGACCCCTAGGTATATACCCTTAATATAGCCATAATATAGCCCATTACAGGGTAGGGGTCCCTACTAAGGGTCCATCCTTTTGCCCTTTGACTATAGTTCCCTTAAACCCCAAAACCCTAAACTCGTTCCCTGACCAGTCAAATCACTTTCGAACACGAGGTTTCAGGGATGGCTTAGGTACGGCCCCCATATACCGGAAGAGTCTATAATAGGGCTGCTATTAAGGTCCTACTATATCTATATTATGAAATATTCTTCAACTATTATTGGACGGGGGCCGTACCCAAGGGATGGCACACCTCCATGATGACGAGCACAGCCCATCTTACTCATCCTGCTGTATAAGTCAAATGGGTATACGAGTAAACCACAACACCCTAAGCCCAGGTAAAAGGAAGCCTGAGAGGAACCTCTAGAAAAGTCCCGGCAGGAATGAGCTCAAAAGACAACAACAAGTCTGACGAAAACGCTTGCGCTAAACCCTAAACCTCAAACGAACCCTAAAAGGAACCTGCAAAGTAAGCCTGAAGAGCTAAGACACCATTCTCTAAACCCTAAACCATTAAACTCCCAAAAGAAACCCTCAAAGGAGCCCATAAAGGAACCCTAAGAGGAATCCTATACTCTTGAAGATCCCTTAAACCAAAGGAACCCTTACCCAAAGGGTCCTATGTACCGATATAGTAGAATGCAACGTTTCCATGGGAATTACTATTATGACTTAGGGAAGTATTCCCCATAACAGTATATACATATAGTGAAACCCAGAAAGTTGGAACATAGATTTAGGATGATTCATGCTGGAATTCCCCATACTTTACTTTAGGGAAATGAGGCAAACGATGTTCCAACTTTCTGGCTTCTACTATAGGACCCTTTGGGAAAGGAATAGAACCCTGTATAGATCCCTTATAGACTCCTTTAAAAGGGAACCCTAGGTAATTCTTTCGGCCATCTAAGACCCGGAAAGGAACCCCTCGAGAGCCAACCCCAAGGGTCCAAGTATTCAATAATCATATACTCACCGAATTCCTGACCTACATAACTACTATCCTAAAACCGAGTACCTAATTATTAGGCCCCTACGTTATAGAACCCTTATAGTAGCCATTATAGTAGCCCCTTATAGACCCCCTTTAAAGGAACCCTAGGAAATTTATTGGGTCCTTTAAAGGACCCTTGAGAGCCAAGACACCATTCCTGTAGTTGCGTGCCGCCTGCAAGCTCCTCGGAGGCTTCGCTTTAGGGTTTAGGGTTTAGGGTTTAGGGGTTTAGGGCTTAGGGTTTAGGGTTTAGGGTTTAGGGGTCCTTTAAAGGACCCAATAAGTAGGGTTCCTTTAAAGGGTTCTACAAGGTTCCTTTAAATGGGGTACTGTAAGGGCCATTATGGGATTCTGTGTAACTTTAAGGGTCCTTTAAAGGACCCAATAATTAAGTACTTCTTCGGCAAAATAGGGTTCCTTTAAGGGGGTCTATAAGGATTACTAGAAAGGTGATTCTGGGTTTTGTATAGCCGCATGGGTCCTTTGTAAAGGACCCCAATAATGAGGGGTTCTAGTAGGGTCCCTTAAGGGATCTTTGCGGATTTGCAGGGCTCTGCAGAATTTTCTGGTGGTTTTAAGGGTCCAAAGGACGCAATAATTAAATGAGGGTTCTATACCTTTGAAAGGGGTATCATTTGGGGTTCTATTATATGGGCCTTAATAATTAGGTACTCGGTTTTAGGATAGTAGTTATGTAGGTTAGGATTTTGGAGAGTATATGATTATTGGGTACTTGGACCCTTGGGGTAACACAAAGCCACGGAATGGGGTTTGGCATTTCGGGCTTACCTTAAGCCGGAATGACCTACCTTTTTAGGGTTCCGTACTATGATTTCCTTATAAAGTCCTTAAAATGGTAGGCTATTCCGGCTTAAGGTAGGGCTTAGTGCTTGGAGTCTGGGGTCTGGTTTTTCTTTTGGAAAGTGCATCGGACCTTTTCCAGCATCCTCGCGTCGGCCCACTGATGGTGAGTGTGCACTGCACGCTGCAAACAGAAGCCCTGGAAAACAGGAAGACACCCTCCACATAGACAGACACCGACGTACAGTCTAGTTCCTCTTTGAAACTTGATCATCTCGACTGCGACTGCGATCCCGTCTGTTATCAGCCATTCCCAACTGATAAGAATGGGATTCCTTTCATGGGCTCTTATCTGCAGAACGATTTTGTTAGATTCGTTTATACATGTAGTAGCCAAGAATTCGTATGGTCATGATGCAGGCAGACCGACTACTTCACAAATCCATGGTTTTTGTTCACCCGACGGTCCTCGAATCGCATCCTGCCTCTCGAAGCTCGTCCACCTCTGGGTGTCGATTTTGGCAGATCCAGAAAAAAAAGCACGAACCCTAAAACTCTACTAACACTCCGATGGTTGAAGCCTAAGTTCTTCGCCATGGCCCTGATGCTTAAAGCCTTCACTGTTCAAGCCTCGAAGGAAATCACATAAGACCTCATAAGAACCTCGCAGTTGCTCAAGCACTCTACGGTTTGACGCCTGAAAGTATTGAAAAACTGCTTGTTAACTAAACCCTAACCGCTATACCCTAGACCCTCTAAACCCGAAACCTCAACAGAAACTAAACCTTATGCCCTATTCCCTATAAATCGTAACGGATGTGTAGTTTCGGTAACAGATCTAGGTATCGATTGGGGATGGGGTGTGTTTGTGTGTGCGTGTCTTCTTGTCTATCTAGATTCCTATTTACAAACTGTTTTTGGGCCTGTTGCAAGCATATACTGATACTTCCAAGAACCAAAAACCCGAAAGGACTAGTCAGATTATTGGTCGTGCCTTTATGACGGGCCGAAGTCCGGGCAAGAGCCGCAGGGTTAGGGTTTAGGGTTGCTTGGGATGGGGGAGGTGCCCTGAATCGGGACCAGCTGTGATGCCGGCAACAAACTGGCAAAGGGACTACAACGAATTCGGACCAACGCACGTCTTAATCGTCAAGTATCCTAGGGGACCTAAAAAGTAACCTTTGGGATGGGATTATAGTGCCCCACAAAGGTCAACGGTTCCCTTCTCCACTACCCGGAACTGCCCATTGCAACCCAAAGCTTCAAGATAGCAAGATCAAGACATATTATCAGAGTGCGAGATCTAGTAGAACAGTTGGACATGGACGCACCAGGCTAGTAAAGAAGCCACATAAGCCAAGCATCAACATCAATGTGCAAACAAATTCCGATAATTGCAGATCACCCTGAACCTTGACCATGCCCTCCGAAACCCTCTCCCTTAACCCTAAACCCTGAACCCCAACCCCTTACGCTATCCCTAGACCTAAGAGTAACCTATGAATAAAAAGGGTGCCCTTTTTGGCTTCAAGGGGGTTTATAAGGGAATCTAAACCCTAAAAAGGGAATACTACTCTGGGTCCTAGATCCTGAAATCATCCAGTACGCCCTTGTCTTGCCTGGAAGCCGAGCTCCATCAGGGCCTCAGGGGTCTCAAGGGTCTTTAGCTTTGTTGCAAATGATGATGATTTGTACTGTTAGTAGTCTCATTGTTATCACCATTATTATTGTTATTATTGTTATTATTGTTATGGCTATTATTGTTATGATTGATAATGTTGTTGCCTTTCGTAAGTTGTGGCGGCCCTCCGTTGATCCGGACAAGGCTATGCAGGGCAAAATAAAGTCTACAAAGCCCTGAAAGGGTTTAGGAGGCAAGAAGCAACAAAGCCTTAATTCATGGCTGAAACTGTGGCGGCATACGGGCAGCTATGATACACTAATTCTCAGACCCCTATCTCTAAATCAAGCCTCAGGGTTTTGAACTCAAGGTTCGTTCCGGGTATTGGGAGACTAGAGTTAGCAAGATTTAGCGGCTGATGGCTTATGAACGACCATGCCATTGTGAATGGGTCGGCTACTACCTAGCCTGCAATCGAAAAGCAGCTGCAGCCATAATCTTTAGAGACACTGCTTCGGTTGGGTGGCACCTTGCCTTGTGAGCTTTTGCATCCACGACACCCTAAACCCCGAACCCAAACACCGCTTAGTACTACTCCTATAAATATTATCATGAGTAGCATCACCGGTATTTTTGTTGTTGTGATTGTCATCATTAGTCAAAACGGCTTCTCAAATGCTGAACCGTATTGCATCTCGAGTTCTCTGAACCTAAGGATGCCACTGTCAGATGCTCGCAACTAAACCGCGAGCAATCCATGAAGGGCCGCCCCTTAACGTAGGAACAGGGCTTTAGCGCTTAGGGTTTCGGGATAAAGACCAAAGGTTTCTTAATCGGACTCCTGTAACACTTATCTTAACAGTGAGCTCCAACTCAAGCGGTAGTTAACTGCACCCTAAGTCTCCGACATCACACCTCAATGCTGTCACGTTGCCAGCACTGTAGTACCAATCTCGCGCAACTCGCGCGCAGAGAAGCCGGCGGCCTGCGACACCCTTTTTCAATTTGACCCCTAGCCCATATACCCCAAACCCGACTAAGGCTTGCCTGACAATGACACAGTCGTGTAGGGGGTTCTCTACATATATCCAAATGGTAGCGACTGTCTACACCAAGCAACATGCATACAAATATGGAAACCATCATCACATAAGTACACATGTACGTTCATACTCATACAGGCACAAATGCGCAAACACATAGACATACATACACATGCATACACAAGCATACACATACACATAAGCACACACCTGCACACACACACACACACACACACCATGATATAATATAAACGTACATATGCATGCAGACACAAATGCATGCACATATGCATGCACGCACATCACACACAAGCAAACAACCAACCAACCAACCAAGCAAGCAAACACACAAACTAACAGACAGACAGGCAGGCAGGCAGACAGACAGAAGCATGCACACACACACACACATACACACACACACACACACACTCGCACAGGCAAATCATCATGCTCATACCTGCACAGGCGCATGCGCATGAACACACACACACACACACACACACATATATATATATATATATATATACATATATATACACATATATACATATATATATATATATATATATATATGTATATACACATATATACATATATATATATACACACATAAATATATATATATATATATATATATATATATATATATACACTTGCACATACATGCATGCACGTACACATACATACTTGATGCCAAAATTGCTGTATACCTGTATGAGAAACTTGTAGATAAGGTCTATATGAGTGAGTGCTCCCACAGTCCACCTGTTGTCACGCTGGGAAGCTGAAGACATCATATATAGGCAAAGACCCCCAGCCGTAGCTAACAACTAGTTTGGTGGTGGAACTTCCGGTTTGGGACTGAGGTCTCGCATAGCAAGAGTGAAAGACTCCCGTGCAGACGCCTTCAGCTCCTCACCGCTGAAAAGCTCCTGCATTTGGGTAGTTTTGTTCCTTTTCGGGTCCTTTTTTTATAAGGGTATACTACTTTTGGGGACCTAACAAGGGACCCTGATTTTGAGAACTACCCATGCGAGCGACATGCTGTGGCTTTTTCAGCTGCAAGATCAGGGGATTTCGTTGCCTCGGCGATGATTGGAGTTACAAGCGTCTAGTCTAGGTCCGGTTGGAATAACAACTCCCCTGCTGATTTTTCACCTACAATTTCCTGTTACCAGTTGGTTCTAATGGCTGAGATTTGCAGGCTTAGGCGGAGAGGGTCTGCGATAGTCAGGGGCGCGCATATAGCGGATGATTAAAACGGTGTCTGTTAGAGGATTCGGGGTTGTCGGTATCCGAAAATAGGTATGGTACATGTCACTGCTTGTCTTATGCGAACTAATTAGCTCCTGCACCAGGAAGAACCTGGGCTCATCTCGTGCTAACCCATCACCTTTGCAAGGTTTTGTTGCCTGGAGGTTGCTTGCAAATTCCGTCTGGCTTCACGTCGGGCTCAGTGCGAAGATAGGGGCCTCAAGAATTGGGACAGGTTTAGGTGTATTAGTATTTGCAGTATACTCATCCCACTATTGAATCTGGGACTCAAGATTCAGTTTCGCCATATTCCCGGGTCCACGTCCAAGCTACCCGGAATTTCTAAGACACGCTTTATAGTTATAGAAGAGTAAGGTTCATTAGAGGAATAATAAAGCCTAAGGACTCATGTTGGTACAGTACCTATTCAGGCTTCTAATTCTGTACTATGTCAGGGATTCCCACCCCTCCGGTCCAGAATCCGGATATCTGCTTTGTGCAGCTCGCGTGCAGAGAAGCCCATCTCCTCCAGCGGAGTCTTTGCGTAGAAAGAGCGTAGTACAGGGGGTTTCATGCTTAAAATATTATGATGTTGGGGTGTATTCTACCCCGGCGATGTTCATGAACCCCCTCAGCATTTCGGTCGTGATTGCGTTGCAGAATCTTTATTATGATTTAGGACGTCGGGATATAGTTCCTGATTGGAGGCTCGAAGGTTACTGTAGAGGGTTTGGGTTTGAAGGCTCTGGTTCCCCTCTGCAAACATCACAATCCCTGCACTCCCCCAGCTATCAAATGTAGAAATCTCCGACTTTCCGTCAGAGGATCTGAAACTTCTTTCACAACTGCTGCGTTCTTGTATCACATGCTCAGGAGTTTGCACACTCATGCCACGGCGCCATTCCCCTAACCCCTAAGCCCTAAACCCCGAAACCCTAACCCCTAAGCCGTTTTAGGGGTTCGCAACTGATGAATACAGAAGGAAGGCATAGTCAGCAAAGCCACTTCAGCAACGGACCCATGCAAACAAAATCATCATCTACTTTCTCCGTAACCCAAACCTGCAAGGGGCTTTATGGGGTTTAGGTTTAGGGTAAAGGGTTTAGGGGTCTATGTTACATTGTAGTATTTCTACCACATACTGCCCGTGCCCAATTTGCATGCTAGCCACATGTCTTCGGTCTATATGGGGCTGCAACTCCCTTGAAGCCAAGTGGGTATATCTAGGTGCACGAGCCCTTCGCCAGCTACAGCCATGTTCCGTGGCACTACACGCCTTGTAAGATTCTCTACCCTGAAGCCCCAAAGCCCATAACACTGAGCACTCTGGCTTAGGCCTTAGGTCGTCCAGCCTCGGCCTTCAGTGGATTTCTATGGCATCTACTTACCAACACGTACAGGGACGGGGGTTTTAGCATACCGTAAAAAGAAAGGCATGGTAGATACATCATGCAGCCGTACTTGGATCTTGCTTGAAGCACCCAGCCCTACCTTAGATCCGACAGCTCCATGTTTCCAAGAGGGTCCACATTTTCTTCGATTCTGGAATTAGGAAACCCCAAGACCATAATAAGGACGCTCTTCCTAATCCCATAATGCTATCATATATGGACTTATATGCACCATTTGGGATGCTAAGCTCACCGGAGGTAAGCCCCCAGAAGAGCTGATTGAAGCCCCCAAGTAACGGCCCTAAAAACCCTGAATCAGAGCTCCTTCAGCTCTTCTCCAGAGAAGCCCGCCTGGCTTTAACATGCACTTGGGGTTGGGACCATTCTGTTCGACATCAACAAGCAGTCAACCAGATCCTTAAAATAGATGCTTTGGGGTCTAGGGTTTAGGGTTCAGAGCTTCGGGCTTAAAGGTCATGCCATGCTATGCCCTAGGCCCCAAGCATTGCAACAAGATCTGCTAACAGGCCACAAGCCGTGAACCCCCCAAAACTAGATCGATACTTCGGAGGCCCCAAACAGGCTTCAACATGTGGCTCGGGAGCAACAACACCCTAAACCCTAAACCCCTAAACCTAAACCCTAAACCCTAAATCCATAATTTCTAAGCGAACACTCCGAACCTTTCTGCCAACCAACGAAGCGGTGTATGGTTCAGTCAGAAGCTACACAGAGACACACTGAAAAGCCCTTCTTCCCAGACCCCCGGGAAGATCTAGAAAGTAGATCCCCTAGTTTGGGACCCTATACTTCTAAGGGTACTTTATAGGAACCCCCACAAAGGGATCTACTTTTTGGATCCTCCCGGGGGTCTGGGTTTGGAAGACATCTTATCTCGAAGCCCAAAACTTGCTCTAAACAGTCAAATCTCAACCTCGTAACCCCTAAACCCTAAACCCTAAGATCCCTTAAAGGACCCTTAAAGGAACCCTTGAAGGACTCTAGATAGTGAAACTTCAACCCCGTAACCCCTACGTAAACCCTAAACCCTCAATTCAGCCCAGAGGGGCCGGCTGAGTTGTCCTTTAAGCCCTTTGAAAACTATTTGCTACTATGGTTCTCTACAAAATCGTAGGGGAAATTAAACGAGATCCCAAAGGACAACCCAGTCGGGTTCGACCTAAACCCTAAACCCCTAAACCCTAAACCCCTGAACCCTAAACTCCTAAACCCTAAGCCCTAAATCCTAAATTCAACCCAGATGGGTCGGGTTCGACCTTCTTCAGGCGGCTGGCAATGCGCCGTTCGGACCTCGTTTCTCTTTCCATGGGACTCGGAGCTCAGGGTTTACCTACCCAGACCCCCGGGAGGATCCAAAAAGTATATCCCTCAATGGGGGTTTAGGGTTTAGGCTTGAGGGTTTAGGGTTTAGGGAGGATCCGAAAAGTATATCCCTTAATGGGGGTTCCTCTAAAGTACCCTTAGTAAAAATAAGGTCCCAAATCCTCTCGAGGGTCTGGGTGCAGTGTCCATTGTAGTTCCGTTTTTTGCCAACCAATTTCTATGGCTACGATCCGTTAACAGATAAATTTGGTCAACCCCAAAAAGGAAGTACAATGGAGACTACAGGTAGGACGGGTAGGATTCGGTGCATCACCAGCACCTCAAAAGTTCGAGTTAATAGCATCACGGCCTGAAAACATAGAAACTTAGATTTCCGAATTCCATGACTTTTCCTGGTGCATGTGAAGTATGCCTTCCAAATCCTCGCCCTAACTATTAGCGCCTAAAGGTCGCCCTATAGGTACAAGTTACAGAACAGATAAATCCGAAGAGCGCTTGCGGAGGCCAGCCCCGAAGATACGAAGCACGTCTCGTTGAAAAGCTGCGCGCTTGTGCATGCTTATGTTCGTCGCTGACATCAACTTGTGCATCGTCGTAACTACATGTGGCGTTTTGAAGCTTTCTCTTCCCAAAACAGATTTTCACAGCCTAACCAGCAGGTTCATGAACGTACAGTAGAAGCCCAAAAGTTGGAAACCCTGTAGCCTCAACCCTTAAGAGCCAGCACTATTTGGTCTTAATCCGGAACAGATTGTCTTTAAGGGCTTCAACATGGGAGTTTCCGAAAATTAGGGGTACCTTATTTTGGGGTCCTTATAAGAAGGATCCTACTATTTAGGGTGCTATATTCGGGTCCCCTATTTCCGGAAACCCCCACATAAGAATCCATAGTCAGGATGGCCCGGTCAGGGGGCTGTAAACATTGGAATAAGGTTTTGGTGCCCATTACGGTTGATGGTATAAATCCCTAGGGCTGCTTTAAAGGGATCTATAGGGGTTCCTTTTAAGGGATCCAGAGGGTCTAGGGTTGAGGGTTTTCGGGATATAAATCCTGCATTACCTTACTGACCCTAGACTGTGGGAATTAAGGTATAGTCTTTATTATGGGTAATGCAGGATTTATATCATCAACCGTATTATACTGTAATAATTATGATTCGGAACCCCCAAAATACTAAAGGTAATCATAAAGGCCCCTGTATTAGACAGGTTGAACTTCCGTGGAACGCTCTCCCTCGACCACAAAATCACAATCCTAATTCCTACACAGACGATCCTAGACTCTGAACCCTACACTCTCAAACCAAAAGCGCTACATCCTGTACGCTCAACCGTATTATAATAAGCCGGTTAAGCTTGAAGCTAGCCAGAATAGTAGGGCCGTGCCCGAAACCCGAAACCTTTACCACTGACCCTAAACCATTCAATCCTTAACTCCCTAAGCCCTGAACCCATAGTCAGCCCAAGAGATCCTTATAGTAGCCCGTATAGACCCCTTTAAAGGAATCCTATTCTAATTGTCCCCTACATTATATATCGAACCGCATTATCGTCCCTTATAGAAGCCTTTTTAAAGGACCGTTTTCTAGGAACCCTATTGAAAACCTTAAAAACCCTAAACCCTAAACCACTATAAAACCCCTTAAACCCTAAATCCTAAACCCCAAACCGCTATATGACCCCTTAAACCCTAAACCCCAAATCGCTATATAACCCCTTAAACCCGAAACCCATAGTCAGCCCAAGAACCCCATTATGGATCCCTGATAGAAACCTGTTTAAAGGACCCTTTTTAGGAACCCCATTTTAAACCCTTAAAACCCTAAACCGTTACATGACCCGAAACCCATCGTCAGCCCAAGAACCGCAGCTCAAAGGCCGCACATTTCAGGTCCCGGAGAACTTGCCTCGGCCGTGAGGGATTTAGGGTCTAGGGTTTAGGGTTTAGGGGTTTAGGGTTTAGGGTTTAGGGTTTGGCCCTAGTTTAGGGGCTTTAGAGGTTTAGGTGGTTCCTTAGAAAGAGGGTCTATAAGATTTAGGTGGTTCCTTCTAAGGGGATCTATAAGATCTAGGTGGTTCCTTTTAAGAGGATCTATAGTTTAGGGGCTTAGAGGTTTAGGTGGTTCCTGTGAAGGGGATCTCTAAGACTTGGTAAAAGGAATCTATAAGGGTTTAGGGACTTTGGGTGGATGCAGGGTTTAGGGGTTCGGGGATGACGTGTTAACGGGTTGATTAAGGGAGTTTAGGGGTTTAGGGTTTGAGAGATTAGGGGGTTTAGGGGTTTTAGGGTTTAGGGGTTTAGGGTTTGAGAGATGGAGCCCTCAGGCACGGGTTTGTGCAAATTACGAGCAACACTGCGCAATTACGATTGCAACGAAGGCAGAGATTTTGAGGTGCTGGGCTTCTCAGCCGAAGAGGGTACTTCTTGTGGAAGAAATTGCCAGACCGCTTCTTGTGCAGGCCTGTCGCGGTATCTGAAGCCGATGCGTCTATAGACCCCTCAGCTACTCTATCTTACACCCCATATGCCCGATGCTCAAGCATCAAACATCCTCCATTCAGAGCTTCTCGGGGTTTGTGGCAGAGTTTACACCATTATTTTTGGGCCCCTCAAAACTCCTCTCACATTTATCCAACATCCCAACATAGGGGTAATAGGAAGATGCAACTAGAAATAAGGTTTGGGGATGTTTAGGGGTTACCTATAATTGCTATACTTCGCCCTGGGGAATTCTAGTTGCAATTGTTCCGGCTTCGTGATTACACCGAAGAAACCCCAGCGATGCAA